CATCCCCACCCACGTTTTCATTTCCGAAATTGTAGTTCTAGTTTCCCACCCACCCACCCATTTATGTATGCTGTTAGGTAGGCCTATATGAGACGAGAACGATGTACTACTACTACAAATGAAATGACAACGCTGCCTTTGCCAAATGAAATGACAACGCTGCCTTTGCCAAATGGACTAAGTACACTTTCACAATTTTTTTTATAATCATGCCTTACATAAATGTCTAACGAAAGTTCACGCACTTATGCATCCCTGTTCGTACTGTGTTGGCAGGATTCGACCTGCGGGCAGCCGAACTTGAGCTGAAAAAAATCTGTCACATCATGAGGACGCACCACGAGGACGAGGACTTTTACCAGGCGCTGACGAACATGCTGAGGTCACGCGACTGGCCGCGAACTTACCCCAACATCATGACCCTGTGGCAGGCGTTGGGCGCCCTGCCACTCAGCACCGTCGAATGCGAACGTGGATTTTCACGCCAGAACATCATTAAGAGCTGGCAGCGCACGACTCTCAACGACACGCGCCTCACCGAGCTCATGAGCATCCACATGCTCGACTACAACGTGGAGTGGCCAGATGTCGTAGACATCTGGCGCAAGCAGAAGATGAGGCGGCCGACAAAATCACCTGCACCCTTCCAACCAGCCAACGACAAGGGCAAGCCAGCGGCCAGTTCGGACGACGAACGGGAGGCTGACGTGGCAGACGATGAGTGAGCCTGTAGCAGTAGTGGGTCATTGTGTACAACGTTCATAAGAAATTTAAATATTCAACATTTCTTGCAACGCAACAGCAATAACAAACAATGCGTACACATCAGGGTTAATGACAACAACTACTCTGATGTGCCAGGGTTTTCATCCTGACAGATTGTGTTACACTGACATCTAAGAGAAAGGCTCGCCAAACACTCTGGAATTCAATGTTATGCAAAAAACGCCTATGGAAACCAGTGTACTCTAAAACGAAAAAAAAAACCTCGGGGCTAAACCCACCTTGCGGCCAATTTGCCCGTGCTGCTGTGCAGGCAAAGAGTTGGGGTCAACAACGCTGACCTCAAGCGCATGCGCCTCCCCCTCTCTCAGTCTTCGAACCGCCACAAAGATCCTCTTTCCCAAAAGTAATGAATTATCCTGTATAGTCACAATCACCCCCCAACCCCTTAGCTATCTTCATGAACTCATGGAGTGTAACGTTTTTTTAGTAAAAGTATCGCTTAGAGTGATGTCTCAGTATAAAGCTCCGTTGAGCAAAAAGGTACAGCATAGAGGTAATGTCTAAACCTACAGTACAGATCTATTGTTATTTTTTTTACTTACAAATTATTTCTTCTCATGTACCAGCTCAGCTCAGGCATTCAGAACTTCCGCTGTAGGGCATTCTCAAGGGCATTCAAGTCTAGTCTCTTAAAGCGACGGGTCACTTTTGGCAAAGGAACAGTGCTGACGTCAGCACTGCGCGAAATTGGCTCAGTGGTGCGATACAAAAGGAGTTGAACAGGCCGTGACGAAAAAAACGAAATGAGTGCGAAATTCGTAGTGGGGAAGGAAGGCACACTTACCAAGGGACAAACGCGCGCAAGGGGAAGGGATTGGGGGGAGTCTGAGACTCCACTTGTGAAGTCACTAGACGCGGATCGGCACGGCTCTGCGGCACCGTTTCTTCCTCGTCATCCTCACATACAAGCCTAATGGGGTCCGGCCGACGACGCATGAGCGCACGAGAGCGTGGCCTGCCACGCAACGGGAAGCAAGGGACATGTTTTGGCTGCAATATTACTCACAAGCTTCCCCCATCCAGCTAGTTGCATAGATAATCCCTAGAAGTGCATGCAAAGCGTGATTTCAAACATGATACATACCTTATTGGTCCGCCAGATCGGGTCTTCCTCGACGCGGTGCTTCGATTTTCGTGACCGTTTGTCATTTTCCTCCTGGTGTTTCATTTCGGGAGAGAACGGAGGCGGTGAAGGGATAATTGGATGAGCTCGAAAAGAAGGAAGGGTGAATGGGCATGGATGGCCAAAAGGACAGCAATGGGAAGGAGAGGCAGGCCCATCTGCAGGGAAGTGAGAAGATGGAGGGCAGGTAAGTGTGAAGGGGCATGGATGGCCAAATTGACGCAGGTGGAAGGGAGGGAGGGCAGTCCCCCCGACAGGATAGTGAAATCTGGCTTGGGAGGGATACGCACAAGAGGGAAATACGGCATCAGGCTAGAGAGTGGGGAATACGTGTGAGATGGGGATAAGGGAGATAGGGAGGTAACTGCAAGCGCTCATACCAGGAAGGCAATAGCACAGCAACCAACTAAAAGGTTGACTGCACAGGCAATAGGGGTGGTAGGCACGAGGAGCAGTGTGCATGCGTCCGCAGCACTAGCGAGAGGGGGTATTAGTGGGCAAGGGGACTAGGAGATATCCATGAATGTTGCAGCTTGCGAGTGCCGGAGGTGACGTGCGTGGAGAGCCTGCGAAATATAGGGTGAGATAAACCTTTATAGGATGAGGGAAAGGACGAGGGTTGTGAAAGTGAGGGAACGTATGCGTGAGGGGCAGGGTGGGGACGAGAGGATAGTTTGGAGGGCGGTAAAGGGAGGTGGCAATGAGTGTTGGGAGGCCGCAACGAGTGAAGGGAAGTGGCAATGTGTGAAGAGAGGCGGAAAAGTGTGTAGGGAGGCGGAAATGAGTGAAGGGAGGCGGAAAGGAGTGAAGGGAGGCGGAAAGGAGTGAAGGGAGGCGGAAAGGAGTGAAGGGAGGCGGAAATGCGTGAAGGAAGGTGGAAACGAGTGAAGGGAGACGAAAATGAGTGATGGGAGGCGGAGACGAGTGAAGTGTTGCGGAAACGAGTGTAGGGAGGCGCTAATGAGTGACGGGATGTGCAAACGTGTGAGTGGAGGCGGAAATGAAGGGAGACAAACATGAATGAGTGGGGGGACGCGGATTTGAGTGATGGGAGGCTTGAATGAGTGAAGGGAGGCGGACATGAGTGATGGGTGGCGGAAATGAGATAAGGGAGGCTGGTAGCGTGCGGGGATGCGCAAACGAGTAAGGGAGGGAGAAATGAGAGAAGGGAGGCGGAATCGAGTGAAGGAAGGCGAAAATGAGGGAAGGGAGGCGGACATGAGTGATGGGTGGCGGAAATGAGATAAGGGAGGCGGATAAGCGTGCGGGGATGCGCAAACGAGTAAGGGAGGGGGAAATGAGCGAGGGGAGGCGGAATCTAGTGAATTGAGGCGAAAGTGAGTGATGGGAGGCGGGCATGAGTGATGGGTGGCGGAAATGAGATAAGGGAGGCGGATAAGCGAGCGGGGATGCGCAAACGAGTAAGGGAGGGAGAAATGAGAGAAGGGAGGCGGAATTGAGTGAAGGGAGGAGAAAATGAGGGAAGGGAGGCGGACATGAGTGATGGGTGGCGGAAATGAGATAAGGGAGGCGGATAAGCGTGCGGGGATGCGCAAACGAGTAAGGGAGGGGGAAATGAGCGAGGGGAGGCGGAATCAAGTGAATTGAGGCGAAAGTGAGTGGAGGGAGGCGGGCATGAGTGATGGGTGGCGGAAATGAGATAAGGGAGGCGGATACGCGTGCGGGGATGCGCAAACGAGTAAGGGAGGGGGACATGAGCGAAGGGAGGCGGAATCGAGTAATGGGAGGCGAAAATGAGTGAAGGGAGGAGGACATGAGTGATGGATGGCGGAAACCAGATAAGGGAGGCGGATAAGCGTGCGGGGTTGCGCAAACGAGTAAGGGAGGGGGAAATGAGCGATGGGATGCGGAATCGAGTGAAGGGAGGCGAAAATGAGTGAAGGGAGGCGGGCATGAGTGATGGGTGGCGGAAATGAGATAAGGGAGGCGGATAAGCGTGCGGGGATACGCAAACGAGTAAGGGAGGGGGACATGAGCGAAGGGAGGCGGAATCGCGTGATGGGAGGCGAAAATAAGTGAAGGGAGGCGAACATGAGTGATGGATGGCGGAAATGAGATAAGGGAGGCGGATAAGCGTGCGGGGATGCGCAAACGAGTAAGGGAGGGGGACATGAGCGAAGGGAGGCGGAATCGAGTGATTGGTGGCGGAAATGTGTGATGGGAGGTGGAAATGAGTGATGGGTGGCAGTGACGAGTGAAGGAAGGCGGAAACGAGTGGAGGGGGGCGAAAATGAGTGAAAGGAGGCGGATACGAATGTTGGGAGGCGGAAACGAGTGAAGGGAGGCGGAAACAAGTGGAGGGAGGCGAAAACGAGCGTAGGGAGGCGCTATTGAGTACTGGGATGTGCACCCGAGCGAATGGAGGCGGATATGAAGGGAGGGCGGCATACATGAGTGAAGGCAGGCGGAATTGACTGTTGGGAGGCTCGAATGAACGAGGGGAGGCGAAAACGAGTGAGCGGAGCCAGAAACTCGTGACGGGACTTGGAAATGAGTGTTGGGAGGTGGAAGCGAGTGGTGGGAGGCGGAAATGGGCATAAAACACGGCTGTCTTGTCGCGTGCTATGTGGGCGGAATACGGACGTCGTGAAATTTGGAAACCGTGTCGCATGGGATATGCTGGGCGTGTGGCGAAGCTGAGTGTGTGTTATAAGGTGTAGGAACAAGCCACCGCGATGCGGCTTAGAGTGAGATAGGAGAGTGAGTTGTTCTTCATCTACGAAAAATAGCTGTGTACAATTCTGTGTCGGCCTGCCTACTATTCTTGACGAGTGTAACCCTAAACCTGCCTGCGAGGGGAAGCGAATGAGTTCACTTTTGTTCAAAGGTTTTTTATTGTCCGTAGGAGCGGGGTGCAAGCCACATCTACTTGCGGAAGTTCTCCCCCAAACTGGGGAGGTCCGTGTGCCCCCCAACTCCTGCAGTACAATACATGGTTACCAGGGGTTCAAAAAAAAAACTTCTGAACCAACCATGCCAAAAGTGCACCGTCGCTTTAAAGATCCCAAGGGCATTCTCCCAGCCCAATTGTATCAATTTTGGGTCTGGCAGAGCTGCCCCTCACAGTGAGTCAGTACTTCATGCGCCCCTCATACGGCACGAGGCTGCCCTCCACCACCTCCACGCGCTCCATCCTCACACCCAGCTCCCGCGCCACTCTCTGCACCACAAACTCCTCTCGCTCCTCACACACCGACACCACCACGCCGCGCCGCCCCAGCCGCCCCGTGCGGCCGGCGCGGTGCGCATAGTGAGCGGGCGAGGCCGGCAGCTCAAGGTTCACGACGAGGTCGCAAACGACCACGTCCAGCCCGCGCGCACCCACTTCCGTTGCCAGAAGTACACGCACACCGCCGTCCCTGATGGCATCGGGAGTTGAGGGTTGAGAGCATTCGGTAGGGGCGATGGGAGGGGGAAAGAGAGGGGCGAAGGGGGGGGGGAAAGAGAGGGGCGAATGAGTGCAGGAGAGGCAACGTGGAGGGCAGCTCAATGTTCACGACGAGGTTGCAGTCAACCACGTCCAGCCCGCGCGCACCCACCTCTGTTGCCAGCAGCACACGCACCCCGCCGTCCCTGACGGCATCGAGAGTCGAGAGTTGAGAGCATTTCGTAGGGGCGAAAGGAGGGGGAAAGAGAGGGGCGAATGGGTGCAGGAGAGGCTCAACATGGAGGGCAGCTCAATGTTGACCACGAGGTCGCAGTCGACCACGTCCAGCCCACACAAGGGCACCTTGCCGTCCCTGCCAGCATGGTGAGCCGAAGGTATTTGGGAGGGGAGAAGAGAGGGGAGAATGAGTGCAGGGAGGCAACACGAGTTCAGCTGGAGGTTGACACAGGAAATGTAATAATTTCGGCAAGCGAAGTAAACGAGTGAGGGCAGGCAGGCGGCAAGAGGAGGGACGGAAGCGAGAGCGTGGAAGGTGAATGCGTTGATATGCATCCCATGTAGAAGGGCAGGTTTTGGTCCAGCTCTGCACAGCACAGCTCTGCACGGCACAGACAATGCCCAGCATTGCAGCAGAAGGAGGGCGGCACCTGAAGGGGGGAGGCACCTGAAGGGGGGCGGCACCTGAAGGGGGGCGGCACCTGAAGGGGGGCGGCACCTGAAGGGGGGCGGCACCTGAAGGGGGGCGGCACCTGAAGGAGGGCGGCACCTGAAGGGGGGCGGCACCTGAATGCGGGCGGCACGTGAGGGCCGTGGCACCTGAAGGAGGACATGATGTTGGTGCGGGCGAGCTTGGAGATGGTGCCATGCAGCGCAGCAGCGGACAGCCCTCTTGCTTCCAGCTTGTGCTGCACGTCCACCAGGCGGCGCCCAAAGTTCATGAACACCATCGCTGACCGCGCTGAGAGCGCATGTACGCAGCGCCGCACGATGTCCACGTGATGCCGCCTGTTCACCACTATGTAGCTGTGAAGGGGGTGGGGAGTGGGAGGGGAATGGGAGCGGCGGCCAAAGTTCATGAACACCATGGCTGACCGCGTCTGAAACGCATGCACACAGCGCCGCACCACGTCCACGTGATGCCGCCTGTTCACCACTATGTAGTTGTGAAGGGGGGGGGAGTGGGGGGGTATGATGGGGGGAGGTGAAACAGGGGCAGAAGTGTCGAGCATGAGACGATGGGAGGTGAAAAAGGGTTGAAGTGGAGTGGGGGACGGAGCTGGGGCAGCGATGCAGTTCTCTTGAGTAGACCCGTAAGACACCACGGCGAACCACAAGTGGACGTGCAGCAGATGTGAATGTGTGACACTTGGAAGAAGCAGCTGTGACGCGAGGCCACTCACCAGTGCTCTCCGCCGCTCACCAGTGCTCTCCGCCGCTCACCAGTGCTCTACACCGCTCAATAGTGCTCTGCAACGCTCACCAGTGCTCTACACCGCTCACCAGTGCTCTACACCGCTCACCAGTGCTCTACACCGCTCACCAGTGCTCTACACCGCTCACCAGTGCTCTGCACCGCTCACCAGTGCTCTACACCGCTCACCAGTGCTCTACACCGCTCAGCAGTGCTCTGCACCGCTCAGCAGTGCTCTCCACCGCTCACCAGTGCTCTCCACCGCTCACCAGTGCTCTCCGCCGCTCACCAGTGCTCTACACCGCTCAATAGTGCTCTACACCGCTCACCAGTGCTCTACACCGCTCACCAGTGCTCTGCACCGCTCACCAGTGCTCTGCACCGCTCACCAGTGCTCTACACCGCTCAGCAGTGCTCTGCACCGCTCAGCAGTGCTCTCCACCGCTCACCAGTGCTCTCCACCGCTCACCAGTGCTCTCCACCGCTCACCAGTGCTCTCCACCGCTCACCAGTGCTCTCCACCGCTCACCAGTGCTCTCCACCGCTCACCAGTGCTCTCCACCGCTCACCAGTGCTCTCCACCGCTCACCAGTGCTCTCCACCGCTCACCAGTGCTCTCCACCGCTCACCAATGCTCTCCACCGCTCACCAGTGCTCTCCACCGCTCACCAGTGCTCGAGGTTGGGCGGCAGGCTGTCCCTCAGCGCCACCAGTGGCGCCTCCTCACTGCCTCGCCCCAGCAATGCCAGCACCCCTCCTGCCTGCACTGGAGGCGGAATCACAAGTGCCCCGTGCACGGCTGATGCTGCAGCAGCAGCAGCAGGAACAGGAAGCAAGTCACTGGCAGGCGAGGTTCTGTTTGCCACACTGGCAGCAGCGGCAGCAGCAGAGCGGGCGTCGATGAGCTGCATGGCGTGCTGCTGGACGAGCAGCGGGTGCGAGCCCCACTTGCAGGCCGCCTCCAGCACGGGTCGTGGCACCGTGGCTGACACCATCACCAGCTGCCTCTCCGCCCTGCTGCTGCCCGCTGGTGATGCGGCAGTGGTGGTGCTGGCAGTGGTGGTGGGTGTCTGCTGGTGAAGGGATCTGGTCAAAGGCAAGGAAGGAGGAGATGGAATGGGAGAAGAATGAGACGCATGTTTGGAATCTGTTGTCACTCAACCTGATCACTTGCAGGCGGCCTCCAGCACGGGTCGTGGCACCGTAGCCGACACTGTTGGTCCTCCGCCCCTCCGCCCTAATGCGGCCCCCTGGTGGGTGCGCACTGCTGGGTGCTCTGGTGCTGCTGGCAGTGGTGGTGAAGGGATCTGGAGAGAGAGCGGCACGAGAAGCAGGGGAGGTGGCGATGGAATGAGATGAGGAGGAGACACATGGATGAGGTGCTTGTAAGGGATAAGTCATGTGCTGGGCCGCCAGGAGGAATCTGCTGTCACTCGCTCCATGCCCCCCATCACTCGCTCCATGCCCCCCATCACTCGCTTCACCCACCCACTCAACAACAACTCCCCACCCACTCACTTGCAAGCATCTCCCCACAAACTCACTTTCGCCGTCCAACATGGTCAAGAATGTCAAGCCTAAAGCGGTGTGACAGCAGCATGTCCGCCTCGTCCAGCACCAGCCAGCCACCGGCACGCGTGCCACTCACCTGCAGTAGCCATTCCACTTGTGGTGCCTCGCCTCACCCCCCCACTCACTTTCGCCTTCCCACGTGGTCCATAATCCTCAGCATATCCATGCGGAAGCGGTGGGAGAGCAGCATGCCAGCCTCGTCCAGCACCAGCCACCTCACTTGCGGTGCCCCCCCCCACTCACGAGCATGCAGGCAGCTCCCCACCCACCCACTTACTTGCGCCGCCCCACATGATCAAGGATGCGCAGCATATCCATGCGGAAGCGGTGCGAGAGCAGCATGTCAGCCTCGTCCAGCACCAGCCATGGCAGCAATGCCAACCCCAACCAACTCATCCGCAGCACCCCACTCACTTTCGCCGTCCCACATGGTCGAGAATGCGCAGCATGTCCATCCTGAACCGGTGGGACAGCAGCATGTCGGCCTCGTCCAGCACCAGCCAGCGGCACGAGTGGGTCGCCAGCCGCCCCGCGCGGCTGCTCTCTGCGATGCGCCCCGGCGTGCCCACCACGATGGAAGGTCGGTGCTTCTTCAACGCCTCCTCCTGCCGGTGGGGGTTCGCCCCTCCGATCAGCTGCTGCACACAGCGCTGCAAAGTGGGACGAGCGGGGTGGGAGTGTGGTGGGTGAGGGCGAAATGTGTGAGGAGGGACACGGCGTGCCCACCACTATGGTCAATGCCTCCTCCTGCCGGTGGGGGTTCGCCCCTACGATCAGCTGCTGCACACAGCACTGTTAGTGGGGCAGGGGGCGAGGGGACGAGAAATGTTGGGGGTGAGGGGAGAAACGTGAGGAGGAGGGTTTGCCCTGCAAATCACCCACTGCACACAGTGCTGCCAGGGGTTAGGGAGTGAGGAATGGTGGGGGGCGAGGGATGGTGGGGGGCGAGGGATGGTGGGAGGCGAGGGGAAAAAGTGTGAGAAGGGACACAGAGGGAGTGGTGGATCACGGGAAGAGGATACGAGCTGCTTGCAGCATATGAGATGCTCGATGCAAACTCCACATGAGTTTTTTATGAATGCCTCGCCCTGGTGCTCCCACCCCTACTGCCTCACCTTGTGCTCCTCGCCTCACCTGTGCCCCGGCCTCCCCCTCCCCACCCACCCACCGTGCAGTGAACTCCCCCCCTGCTCCCCCCACCCACCTGTGCCCTGCCCCGCCCCCCCCCCCACTCCCTCTCTCCCACCTTTTGCTCTTCCCCACCCTCCCCCCTCCCACCCTATGCCCTTCCCCCTCCTCCCCCCTCGCACCTTATGCCCCTCCCGCCCACTCCTCCCTCCCACCGTATGCCCTCCCTCACCTTATGCTCCTCCCCCAGCACGCGTTCAGCCTCTCTCACGATCTGCATTGCCAGCTCCCGAGACGGCGCCACCACCACCGCCTCCACGCCCCCTCCGCCTCCCCCGCCCCCTCCCCCTCCGCCTGCGCGCCCCTTCTTGCCCTTCCTGCCCTTGCCGTCCCCGTCCCCCTCCCCTCCCCCAGCACCATCAGCCCCAGTGGAGTTTGCGTGGGCTTGTTGGCGGCTGAGAGGGCCCACAGAGGCGAGGATGGGCAGCAGATACGCAAGAGTCTTGCCCGACCCTGTGAACGACTGTAAGACCGCGTCCGTGCCTGGTGGGTGGGGGAGAGGAGAGGGATGGGAGTGGAGGGGAGGGAAAGGGGGGAGGGGGATGGGCAGCAGATAGGCCAGCGTCTTGCCTGACCCTGTGAACGACTGCAGCACTGCGTCCGTGCCTGGTGACGCGGGGAGGAGGCGACAGGGGGGACGGGCGTGGAGGAAAACGGGGGGGGCAGTGGGAAGGGAAGGAAGTGGTGAGAGAACGAGGCGGGGAAACAGGGCGCAGAAGGCCTTTAGTGGGGCTGTTAGGAAGTAGGGGACGGGAATGGAGGGAAGGGGAAAGGGAGGGTGCAGAAGGGGGATTGGGGGAACGGGAGGGAAGAAGAAGAGAGAGAAGGGACGTGGGGGCGGGGAGCAGGAAGCATGAATGTGGCGGGTGGGAGGGATGAGCTGATCGCAGTGCAACGGGGGAGAGTGGAGCATGTTGCGGGGATGAATGGGGTAAGGCAGAAAGGACAAGGCGAGGGAGGAGGGAAGACTAGGTTGGGGCAAGTGTGTGAAGGGAACGAGTCAAAGAAAGGGAAAGGGATGCGAGACCGGGAGGAAGCGGGGGTGGAAGGAATTAGAGGCACGGCCAGTGCGCGCGGGCTAGCAGCGGTTTCAAGGTTTAAGGGTGAGGATTCGGGGTTTAAGCTTCAGGGCAGCGCGCACCTTGCATGAGCGCGCACCTTGCATGAGCGCGCACCTTGCATGAGCGCGCACCTTGCATGAGCGCGGGCACGGCGCGTCGCTGGATGTCGGTGGGGTCGAGCAACCCCAGCGACGCCACGCGCTCCGATAGACCCGCGGGCAGCCCCAGCGAGTGGAAGCCGTCACCGCCGCCGCGCGGCTCCCAGCTCGTCTCTGACTCCGCCGCCGCCTTTCCTCCCCTCGCCGACACCGCCGACCTTCCCGCGCCGCTGTCACCGTCGCCTGCTCCAACGCGCACTGCGCGTGACTCTGCGCTTGGCTCTGCGCGCGGCTCTGCGCCTGCCGCCGAATCCGCCCGCCCAGAATCAGCCGGCGCCGTACCCGCTGGCGCACGAGGACCCGCGATTGGCGCACACGCGGGCTGCGCGCAAGGCGGAGACGCGAGACTCAGTGAGCGCGCAGGGGTGCGCGCATTGGATACCAATGTCACTCGTAGACCGAACAAGCGCGCCTCCGTGAATACCGACAGGCGCGCTGTGAGGGCGTGCGACGGCACGTGCAGCGCCATGGTCGGCGCAGCGTACGGCTTTCGTTATCAGAGCGTGCTGTGTTGTGGTGGAACCGTGTCGGTTGAGAGTGTTGAGTCTGTGGACAGCGTGAGATGAGAGGTTTTGAACAAAATATCTCCAGATGTGTAGGACGGGGATTTTGCGAATTCCGCAGCCTCACAAACAAGCACATGCGAGGAATGCGCAGTGGTTGGTCGTGGTACTTCCATTTCACAAGGGGTTGAATACGATTTTGTACAATTCTGAGGGTATTCTTGCTATCAGCGCGCCATGGATCTTGCCGCCACAGGCGTTACAGCGCCAGCGATTAGGTCGTAAGTTTTCTCAGTCCGCGACTCGCGAGGTTCTTCAGATCGCTGGCAAATGCGCATGCCATGCGCGCCTATGTTTGCAGCAGCGTTTTGCTAGTGTGAGCGTCGCGAGCGAAAGAATGGAAAAAGAGTTGAATTCTTCAACGCCTGCTCGAGCACCGCGTACGCACACGCACACAGTAGTTGAAGCATAAGACTACGCGCACTTACGCTGGCTTTCAGAATGTGGAAACCCAACTTGGTCAGTATGTCTGACGCGGCACGACCGTTGCAGCCCTTTCTCCGACGTGGCTCGCAGTGGGTGGTGGTGTGCTGACGTGGACGACGATGCGGAAAATATTTGGCAAGTCGGGCAAGGCGGCCAAGCGGGCCGAGGCAGCGAGAGGCGAGCAAGCCATCGTTACCCGAGCTATGATATAGGTCGTGCTTTGCTAACGCTAGCGATAGCCAAGCCATCCTTGTTTCGCGATGCCTCAAGGCTTCGCGAAGCGAATGTCTCGGACAACTGTCTTGCCTCCCGCGCGCCCTCGTCGCCCGGCGCAATCTGTCTGCTCGTTCCGCTCTTTCTCGCTTCTGCATTTCCTCCTCTCCGCGTATCTTGCTCTCAAGCCTCTGCCTCCCACGCCCTTCCTCCTCCCGGTGTTGCCTTTCTCCTTAACACCACCCTTCCCCCCTCTCCTCTCAGCCGCCCCCATCCATGCCGCCTGTGAGCGGTTTTCCCGGGCGGACATGCTAACCGCGACGAACCACTGGGCACCGCAGGTGCACCTGGGCGACGACGGGTACCGCGACCTGTTCAGGGGCGTGGACCCGCGCGATGGCGCCACCCCGTGGCTCCTCAAGCGCTGCCGCTTCCGGGAATTCGAAGAGTTCCAAGCGGAGGTGGGAAGGGCGGGAGTGTGGGGGAATGGGAGGGAAGAGTGTGGTGTTGGAGAGTGGAGAGAGGAGGAGTGATGGGGAGGGGCGAAAGATGCAAAGGTGAAAGTGAGGGGAGGAGAACGAAGGAAATTCAGGTTTATATTCTGCTAAGCTATTTAGAAGATTAACTATCGGATGTTGCTGGTTCAGCCACAGACCCCACGCTCTCACTCACACATTTCCCATGGATGTTATGTTGCTCTGCATGGTGGTCTCGCCCTCCACGGGCAGCCCGTCTGCATGGTGATACTGCCACACCGACCCAAGGAGGGTTGGTTCACCCACCACGCCCTATCCTTCTCCTCAAAGCAGGTTCCTCAGTGGGGCAGCGGCACACAAGTAGGTCGCCGTGGAGCAAAGGCAGGCGGAGGAAGAAAGAACACTTGTGGACCACCGCTCGTCTTACCCTCTCCCTCCCCTGCCTCCCTCCCACCCACTGCCTGCCCTGCCGTCCCCCAGGTGGCGGAGATGGGCAACAAGAACCACCCCCACCTGGTGCGCCTGCTGGGGTACTGCGATGAGCAAGACAGGCAGGGGCGGTGGGTGCAGGTGCTGGTGTATGAGTTCATGACTGGCGGCAGCCTGCTCGACAAGTTTGGACCGCATGGTGAGGCATGCCGCATCACTCACCTGTCTTTCTGATCGAGCCCATGTCGTTGCGAGTGCAGTTATCATGCCAACTCCACTCAAGGAGGTGCTTGCAGGTTCTTCCTCGCCCCCGCCCTTGCCCTTGCCCTTGCCCTAGCCCTCGTCCTTGTATTTGCCTCTGCTAGGTCTGCTTGCACAGCATCTGTCCATCACAGCATCTGCCCATCGCATGCTGCTTATTCCGTTACGTTGGTCCATTCTACCTTGCACCGTATTCTTTCTCTTCCTCGCAGGTTGCGTCGGCATGCCGTTGACCTTGCAGCAGCGCCTGGACATTCTGATAAGAGTGGCGCGCGGGCTGGAGTATCTGCACAGCTTTGGCATCGTGCATCGCTGTCTTAGTCTCAAAAACATTTTACTGGATGGCAGCATGCAGGTGAGTGTGCTGTGAGTGGGGGCGCAAAACACAAACACGCTGCAGATTCTTGTCATGTGGAGCAACATTCCCTCCCTCCTCCCGCCCGCCCACGCCACGCGAGGCTCTCCCGCCCGCGCCGCACGTCAATGCGCCGCACTTTTCCAACACAACACCACGCCAGGCGAAGATTGCAGGGTTTGAGTATGTGAGGCGCAGCGCTGCAGCGAGTGGCGAGGAGGACGTGGTGGTGGGCGAGGTCGAATACGTGGACCCGCACCTGCTGCTCACAGAGCGCCCCACACCCACCAATGACCTCTACAGGTGCCAACCCAATCTCTTTCCCCTATTCCGCCCATTCCCCTCAGTCGGCCTCCCATTCTCCTCAAGCCGCCCATCTTTGTGCAACATACGCCACACACTTCATTTATGCTTTTGAAATTTCGCTGGCGTACAATGTTATGGTGCCTGACGATTTCATCCCACAGCTCCTCCATCCCATATCGACTCACCTTCTGGTTACCGACTCAGCATCTGGTTACCGACTCACCATTTGGTTACCAACTAACCATCTGGTTACCAACTAACCATCTGGTTACCAACTCACCATCTGGTTACCGACTCAGCATCTGGTTACCGACTCACCATCTGGTTACCAACTCACCATCTGGTTACCAACTAACCATCTGGTTACCAACTCACCATCTGGTTACCGACTCAGCATCTGGTTACCGACTCACCATCTGGTTACCAACTCACCATCTGGTTACCAACTAACCATCTGGTTACCAACTCACCATCTGGTTACCGACTCAGCATCTGGTTACCGACTCACCATCTGGTTACCGACTCACCATCTGGTTACCGACTCAGCATCTGGTTACCGACTCGCCATCTGGTTATCCCCTAGTGCTTCCTCTCATGCCCGAGGTACTCGCTGTTCCATGAATGGATGTGCACGAAGTGGAATCTCCTGCTTTTCAATTGTCTTGGTTGCTATTTCAGAAAATAATATAACCACCTGCACGCATATGAAGGCTGGTTTGTTGTTCCCATTATCATGCTCCACTGCCATGCTCCACTGCCATGCTCCACTGCCATGCTCCACTGCCATGCTCCACTGCCATGCTCCACTGCCATGCTCCACTGCCATGCTCCACTGCCATGCTCCACTGCCATGCTCCACTGCCATGCTCCACTGCCATGCTCCACTGCCATGCTCCACTGCCATGCTCCACTGCCATGCTCCACTGCCATGCTCCACTGCCATGCTCCACTGCCATGCTCCACTGCCATGCTCCACTGCCATGCTCCACTGCCATGCTCCACTGCCATGCTCCACTGCCATGCTCCACTGCCATGCTCCACTGCCATGCTCCACTGCCATGCTCCACTGCCATGCTCCACTGCCATGCTCCACTGCCATGCTCCACTGCCATGCTCCACTGCCATGCTCCACTGCCATGCTCCACTGCCATGCTCCACTGCCATGCTCCACTGCCATGCTCCACTGCCATGCTCCACTGCCATGCTCCACTGCCATGCTCCACTGCCATGCTCCACTGCCATGCTCCACTGCCATGCTCCACTGCCATGCTCCACTGCCATGCTCCACTGCCATGCTCCACTGCCATGCTCCACTGCCATGCTCCACTGCCATGCTCCACTGCCATGCTCCACTGCCATGCTCCACTGCCATGCTCCACTGCCATGCTCCACTGCCATGCTCCACTGCCATGCTCCACTGCCATGCTCCACTGCCATGCTCCACTGCCATGCTCCACTGCCATGCTCCACTGCCATGCTCCACTGCCATGCTCCACTGCCATGCTCCACTGCCATGCTCCACTGCCATGCTCCACTGCCATGCTCCACTGCCATGCTCCACTGCCATGCTCCACTGCCATGCTCCACTGCCATGCTCCACTGCCATGCTCCACTGCCATGCTCCACTGCCATGCTCCACTGCCATGCTCCACTGCCATGCTCCACTGCCATGCTCCACTGCCATGCTCCACTGCCATGCTCCACTGCCATGCTCCACTGCCATGCTCCACTGCCATGCTCCACTGCCATGCTCCACTGCCATGCTCCACTGCCATGCTCCACTGCCATGCTCCACTGCCATGCTCCACTGCCATGCTCCACTGCCATGCTCCACTGCCATGCTCCACTGCCATGCTCCACTGCCATGCTCCACTGCCATGCTCCACTGCCATGCTCCACTGCCATGCTCCACTGCCATGCTCCACTGCCATGCTCCACTGCCATGCTCCACTGCCATGCTCCACTGCCATGCTCCACTGCCATGCTCCACTGCCATGCTCCACTGCCATGCTCCACTGCCATGCTCCACTGCCATGCTCCACTGCCATGCTCCACTGCCATGCTCCACTGCCATGCTCCACTGCCATGCTCCACTGCCATGCTCCACTGCCATGCTCCACTGCCATGCTCCACTGCCATGCTCCGCTCTCACCTCTCTGTGCTACCCCACTCTCCTTCTTTCTCCATCCCGCCCTTTGCCCCTGCGTGCTGCCCTTCTTCCCGCCCATCTGGTGCACGGCGCCACGCCACCAGTCTGGGAGTGGTGCTGCTCGAGCTGCTGTCAGGCCGCCGTGCTTTCACGCAATAGGAGGGCATGGAACCGATCAGAGACAGTGTGAGTGCGAGCCACTGGAGCATTGGGGGGAGGGCGAGTGTTGTGCTCTGAGTCATGCCAGCTTTGCAGTACCTCGATCGCTGGCAGTGTTTTAAGCGGGATTCTGGCAGTAGCTCAGAATTTCCTTGCGTTCACGTCAAGGCAGTGATGAGGCAGCAGCGGACTCAACCACCATCCACAGGTGTGGCCTACGGAAGAAGACCCGCGCTCTCCTTTCTTTTCCTATCGCAACTGGGACTGCTTTTTTATTTTGTTTCACTTCCTGCTGTTGCCTCCTCACATCCCTCATGCTCCTCTCCTCGTGCTCGACTCTCCATGCCCCTCCTCCCATGCTCCTCTCCCCATGCTCCTCTCCCCATGCTCCTCCCTGCCCCCATGCTCCTCCCCCTCCTCCCCCCATGCTCCTCCCCCCATGCTCCTCCCCCCATGCTCCTCCCCCCATGCTCCTCCCCCCATGCTCCTCCCCCCATGCTCCTCCCCCCGTGCTCCTCCCCCCATGCTCCTCCCCCCGTGCTCCTTCCCCCATGCTCCTCCCCCCATGCTCCTTCATAGTGTTTCTGTTTTGGAGTTCATGTATAGTCAGCATCTGGCTTCCTCCCCCCAACCTTCACCCCGCATCAGGTTGAAAGGCTGCTTCAAACCAGCGACTTTGCTTCTCTATTTGATCATGCCCTCGCCTCCTCCTTCCTCCCAACCACCACCAATACCAACGCCAGCATCCCTACCAGCACCAGCATCCCTACCAGCACCAGCATCCCTACCAGCATCCCTACCAGCACCAGCGTCCTTAGCATCCCTTCCAGCAGCTCCAGCGCTCTCTCTAGCATCCCCAGCACCACCAGTGCAGACACAGCAGCTGCCAACGCTGCTGATCCTACACTGGACGTTCCCATACCGAATGTTCTTGTACCCAGTTTGGTGCGGCTGGCTCGTGTCGGGCTCGCATGCACAGCCATGCCTGCTTCCACCCGGCCCACCTTGGGAAGAGTTCTTGCTGAGCTGGAGATTGTGCAGGATGACGTGGCAACAGCACTGGGGAAGATGGAGGAAAAGGTGGAGAAGAAAGAAGGGGAATTGCAGGAAGGGAGGGGTGCTGTGGCAGAGGATAGTGGAAATGAGCATTTGGGCTTGTGGGGCAATCCTTCCCACGCTGACCCTTCCTCCTCCGCATCTCCTAATCCTTCCACTCCTCCTTCGCAGCTTCCTCCTCCTCCTCCTGCTGTGCTCGCCCCCTCCCCCTCCCCCCTCCCCCCGGCGCCGCTGCTGTGCCAGCAGGTGGCCATGGCGGACGTGCTGCGTGCGACGGCCGGGTGGGCGGTGGAGAGGCGCATTGGCAGCGGCGGGTACGGCGTCGTGTACCGCGGAGTGAGCCCCTTGGATGGGTGCACGCTATGGGCTGTGAAGCGCGCCCGAGTGCTCACCAATGACTTCCGACGTGAGGTGTGTTTAGTGGGATGGTGGGGTGGGGGTTGATATCAGTGGGATGGGGGGGTGATAGTTGGGCAGGCAGGAATAACGAGAGATGGTCTGGTGTGGTGATAGTATTAACGAGTTCAGACGCACGAGGTGCGGTTGATTGGATGGTGGCGTGGGATAGGGTGGGGTGGGCATAGGGTCAGAATAATGGGAGACGTCGCACCAACAACGTCGTCAGAGGCCAATGGCTTCAGAGAGTGGCCTAGACGTGCTTAAATGGAAATTGATTAAGGACGTATTCCTGGCTTTGTGTCATCCGGTGTTCGTGTCATCCCGAATTAAAGTCCGAATGGCGGGTTTCCCGACTCGAGCTTCGGTTCTTACGATTTGGATGGCGAGCTTGAGCGAACATCATGGACGAAACCACGTTCTACCTCATAAGTTTTCTTGCAGAACTGCGGTGTTAAATTTCTGACTTTGCGACAAAAACTTTCTAAGTGTTGGCAACATTGCACATATCAACATCGTGCACAGTCGCATTCCCTCGTCAGATTGAGCAAGCGATCTTAACACGCGGTCACGAGAGCTGCGTAGGTAGCTAAATTTATGTTTGAAGTTTGAACAAGTCTTGAACGCATTCAACTTGTTGACCCGAGCTGCACCATAACACCATTTCGGATGTCATTTTCAGCTGATGATACGAAGCCAGGAATACGCTCTGAGCGAAATGCGAGAGGCATGAGCTCTTACTCTGTACTAAGTTTTGCCCGTGCGTTCCTCCCCAATCGTGCCCTCTTTTTTCAAACTCTTCGACCTCTCCCTCCATGCTACCTATCCCATCACTCCCTCCCTGCCTCACTCGGTTGGGGTGGCATCAGGTGAACGAGATGGCATCGAAGCACCACCCGAACCTGGTGCGGTTGCTGGGGTTCTGCGTGGACTATGACGTGGTGGCGGAGCGAATGGAGCAGATCGCCATCTACGAGTTCCTGCCCCATGGGGACCTGCACCATCGTTTGCATGGCGATGATGACATAGGTGGGCACCACCTGCACACTAGAGTCTTAACAACACTAACTCCACTTGAGGCCTTCCAAGTGTGACAAATTATTGTCAGAATCCCAGCCACTAACCACTGGGATAAAAGGGCTTTTTTGTGTAGCGGGTGAGTGCGCCCATAACCCCCCAGGCCGACATGCCTGTAACCCTTCCCTAGGATCATCGGGGATCTCCAGTGGACCTCTGACACCCCCCCGCACTGGGATGCCCGAGGTGCACACACCGGGAATCGAACCCGAGACCTTCGCTCTGATACCATGTCAGAATCCCAGCCACTAACCACTGGGATAAAAGGGCTTTTTTGTGTAGCGGGTGAGTGCGCCCATAACCCCCCAGGCCGACATGCCTGTAACCCTTCCCTAGGATCATCGGGGATCTCCAGTGGACCTCTGACAATTATCACTTTATAGCTGAGAGAATTACATGAGAGTGTATAAGCTAGGAGTAGCTTGTAGAGTGAGAAAACTGGTCGAGCAGTGTTCCGGCAGCATCACGTTAACGTTTCCATTCTTGTCAATACGCAGTACTAGAATTCGACTTGAAAAACGGGAAAACATTGTTGAAATGCATCAATAAGTACAAGTACACATTTATTAAAAAATCAAGCACACAAGCAAAAGCATAAAACGGTTGTTTAACCGAATTTTAATACTTCGCCAAGTTGTATTTGAAAAAGATAACTCCACTTTTTGAACAATTGTTTTGATCCTCCTCTTGATAAAACATGTCTTCAAATTTAAATAGAACAATTGCTCCTGCTGACTCCTCCTATAAAGACGCGTGAGCTCCCATGTGACTTCAATGTAGCACTCATGAAATACCGAGCTTACAATAATAAATCGGTTTTCTTGTTGAGAAAAACCGAAATTACAGTTTTGTACTTGTGTCATCATGATCACGCAAAGCAGCGAGACTTTTGCGCGAAGCTTTCTATTCCGTGAGTTAACGCAGGATACAGTTTTTTAACTGTAATCCCGAGCACCTCCACGTGCCACACGCCGCGGCCGAGGTATTTCTTGGTCGTGTTGTACAGAACGATCGTGACAGCAATCGTGCGCTGTACAGCGCGTGACAAGTCAATAATGTGTCCTGTCTTGTTGCGAGCATGCTGTACAGCACGCTCGCAACGATCGCGACACATGCGTTTGCCCTATGTGGCCCCACGCACGTGTCAGAACCCCATGCGTGGGTCCTGACTTTCGCGGCCTTGACCAACGCAAAATGGTCAAAGGCACCCCCACGCCAATCAAACAATCGAGCCTCCCTTTCCCCGTACACCACTCACTCGTCAATGAGTCTCTCATAAAACATTGAAGGCTCATTGGGGCTTTTGTGGGAGCTTCATTGAAGTTCATGAGAGATTCGTTAGAGCTTCATTTGAGCGCTTCATGAAAGCCATGAAAACACAGCAGAACAATAACACAGAATGAGATAACAAATGATAAAAAGAACACGCAAATTGTAAGGACGGTTGCGAACAGAACACACAAAAATGAAATTTAACACACGAAATGAAAATGAGATGCATGCGGCTAATTGACGTGTAAAAATAGATATTTGCACCCAACATTCATGTCCCACGGGCCTGCACCACTGCTTGCATGGCGATGATGACACAAGGTGGGCGCCACTGCATGTGCAGGTGGGATCGACAGCGATGGGGGTGTGGGAGCGAGAATACCAGCGTTGGGAGGAAGAGAGGCAAGGCTGAAGGCCCGTTGTGTGGGATTCTTTACATGAAGGGCAAGTTTGTGTGCCCCTCCTCTTGCTGCTCTTTCTCCTCTCAATACAGGCCTTGTCTATTTATTCTTCCAATCCCTTGCCTTTTCTTCTCTCTGTTGTGTTGTTCAGCAGCTGATATCACCCCCCTGACCCTGCTGCAGCGGCTGGATATTCTGCTAGGAGTGGCGCGTGCGCTGGAGTATCTGCACAGCTTTGGCATCGTGCATCGCGACATCAAGCCCGCCAACATTCTGCTGGACGTCCACATGCAGGCGAGTGCATGCGTTGATGGGCGAGATGCCAAGCACGCAGGTACCTTCTCTCCACAAAACGCCAACATTCTATGGGTTTTGGCAAACAGTGGCTCTGTGAGCATCACTCTCTCACTATCTCTCCATGAGCATCACTCTCTCACTATCTCTCCATGAGCATCACTCTCTCACTATCTCTCCATGAGCATCACTCTCTCACTATCTCTCCATGAGCATCACTCTCTCACTATCTCTCCATGAGCATCACTCTCTCACTATCTCTCCATGAGCATCACTCTCTCACTATCTCTCCAAGAGCATCACTCTCCATAACAGAATTGCTCTCTTCTCCATCCTGCAGGCGAAGCTGGCAGATTTTGGTTTGTTAAGGCTGGCGGAGGGCAGCTGCTCACTGGAGTCGACGCGAGTGAGGGGCACACCGGGCTATGTGGACCCTGTGTATTCAATCACTCACAAAGCCACTCCAAGTGCTGATGTGTACAGGTGGGAAGGCGTGTGCATGTGCACACGTGCATATGCTGCCCAGTTGTGCTCTTTGCCCAAGCATGCATGTCCTCGTCTATCGTCTCACCCAGGTGCTCTCTTTTCACCATAGTGCCTTCATTTCACGTGCTTGCTCACCAAGAGTCACTCGTCCGATCTGTCCTGCACACTGCTCCCTCTCTCCCTACCCCCGCTTTTTCCATCTCCTGCCTCCCCTGTCCCTCTCGCCCGCACTGCTCTCCCCAGCTTTGGAGTGGTGATGATGGAGCTGCTCACCTGCAGGCGTGTCGTGATGCCATGTGAAGATGGATCACACATCCACATCAAGGACTGGGTATGCCGCTGCTTCTTTCCTCCACTCAACAATCCCTTTTCTTTGGCTTTCTGTGTGTTGGTTATTTTCATTCACACGGCAACTGTTTTTTGCATGAATGCCCTTCCATATTGGGTCTCACTGTTTCTCTTCCTCCTTCCAGTCTCCCCTCACCTACCTCCTTGTCCTGCTCCCCCTGCCTCTTCCCTGTCCTCTCACCCCTCCTTCCAACACTTTCTCTCACCCTCCCCCTTTTGCTTCATTCCAATCTTGACAGGTGGAGCAGCAGTTGGAGGGAGGGGACAGTGCATCGGTGGTCAACGGGGATCTCAATGCACCACATGCCGTGGCCTCCAAGCTAGTTGACATTTCTCTCTCATGTGTTGCGAAGCTCGTATCAAATCGACCCACTATGAGCCATGTGCTAGTTGAGCTTGAGGCACTGCGCAGGGAGCTGATGGGCGAAAGACAGGAGAGGGTAGCCAGGCAGCTAGATGCAGCAGTTCAACGAGCTTCACTGGATTATAGCCAACTGGAGGAGGAGCTTGAGATGATCTATAGTGCTCAAAACAACTAATGCCCATATGAAAATGGATTTGGGAAATATGCAGGACTTTGCATTTGACACAATGAATGTGGTGAAGCAAAGCTCTCACTCTCTCAGACGAAATTCTATCCTCACATTCACACAGTACCGTAGCTCATCCCAATTCTAGGTGCATCCATGCGGAAAACATCCTGCACACAACAAAGTAATCAAGTGAGAGTTGTGTTGTGGCTCACAAATGGCGCATAAATGGATCTTGAAGCTTCAAGTTATCTAGCATTACTCGACCCCAGCAACGGCCCGTTCCTTGCCTAGCTGCTAGTGGGTAGTCAGGATACCATAACATACAGTATTATATGAACTCAGTGGGTGGGGCATTCGTGGACCTGCTGGGCTTCTCAGAGACGGGCTCCTCAAGTCCGTTTGATTGCGGATGCTCTGTCATTTACGCCGTTGTTGTAAGAGTGTGGATGAATCGAAAGGAATGTGGATGCTGACTTTGACAACTTTTTTTTAGCAACAGAGCCATATTGGCACACGTAAAGGAAGAGATGTAGCAATGTTATCAACCTTACCATGCACTTAGCATGCCTGCGGCCATCAAATATTGTGCCAGAGAATCAGCTTCCTGTCACCCCTATGCTGTTTCCAGGAAGCTTAGTCGTCTCACGAGTCCGGTATCCCCAATTGCTATAGGACCCAATCCTTGGCCAATATAGATGATCCAGCTTCTTCGCCATCACGAAGATGTCGCTGAAGTTGGTGACGCCGCGGAGCAATATTTCTCGTGAAATCTCGGCAGACGTAGCGATAGATGTGCTTCGTCACATGCATTTGTCAGAATATTATGCTCTAGCCTGTAGTGGGGTGCTCTGTAGCGAGTACAACCCTTCTAGGGTTTGCTATTTGTATCCCCATTCTTGCTAGTTCAGTCCTCTTTTGCCTAATTCTCTCGACATGCTATCAGAGCAGGACGATCCTGTTGGGTCGATCCTGTGGGTGGGCCCACCACCAAATGCTTCCGCTGCTGTTCTACTGGTCGCGCGAATTTTTTTTTTTTTTAACGGATTTTTCATCCCGCCGCGCGCTCGGGGCGTGCGGCGGGTTTCTCCCCGCCGTGCGCCCCGAGGCGCGCGGCGGTTTCCTCCCGTGGGGGATGCCCGCGTCCCCCCGATCCCGTCGCCCGCGGCCCTGCTTTCCCGTCGCCCGCGGCCCCTCGGTCCCGTCGCCCGCGGTCCCCTCAATCCCGTCGCCCGCGGCCCCGCTTTCCCGTCGCCCGCGGCCCCTCGGTTCCGTCGCCCGCGGCCCCGCTTTCCCGTTGCCCGCCCCCCCCCCCCCCCCCCCCCCCCCCCCCCCCCCCCAATTCCCGTCGCGGCGCCCTAAGGAGCCGCGCGCGGCCCCTCGCTGCCCCGTGGTGGCGTCCTGGGGGCCGCGCGCCGTCCCCCTCGCCGTCCCCCGCGCTCCTTCCCCCGTTCCGCCCGTTTTAGGGTTTGGGGGTGGAGAGTGTGGGGGTGGCGGCTATGGGGGTGTCGGTTGTGAGTTCCTCCCCCTGCTCCTCCTCCTCCCTCGTCTCCCTCTGCTACAGCTGCCGCTGAGGGGGGTGGTGTGTGGGAGCCTAGGGTTTGGGGTTTAAGGGGGGTAACGTCGCAGTGGAGCTAGGGTTTGAAGCAGGGGGTGTGTGTCGAGGGGTGTGGGACAGTTGGAGGAGGTTGAGCGGAGGTTGCCGTCGTGTCGTACGCAGCGCCTGTACTCCGGGGCACTCATTCCCGGTAGCTCAGAGAGCCGGTTGCGCCGTCGCCTGTGGGTCCGTTGCTCCTGCCGCGCATATTAGCCGCGGAGCCTGTTACTCCTGTACTCCGGGGCACTCATTCCCGGTAGCCACGTTGTCGCACCAGAGCCGTCTGTTGCCCGTGTGTCTGCAGCTTCAGTCGTCGCCTCCTATCTACTCTCCTCTCGCCAGCCCTCCTCCTCCTCACTTGCCCCTTTTGTGACTGCCTCTAGCTTTGCTCATAATTGTGCACCTTAAACTATTGCTTCTTGCTTGTGCTCAGAATGTGTGGTGACATCGTGATCCACCCTGAGCTTGTACTGCTTTGTTTCCTCTGCTGATTACACCCCACTTTGGCTATGGGGGTGTGTCAGAATATTATGCTCTAGCCTGTAGTGGGGTGCTCTGTAGCGAGTACAACCCTTCTAGGGTTTGCTATTTGTATCCCCATTCTTGCTAGTTCAGTCCTCTTTTGCCTAATTCTCTCGATAGCATTAGCCCACTAGTCTTGAACCAACCCGAGGTAACACCAAGTGCACAACTTCTGGCGTGTCGAAATCCATGCCGCGATCGGCTCAAATCTCCTGCACAGACCTGCACAAGACGCGTCCCATGTGCGGTGTTGGACAACTTCGTAAATTGAGGTTGTCCATGTGATCGTTGTCTAGAAGGTCCCTTTCTACGAGAGTACGTCGTCTGATATACAGGGACATACCTGATTTTTACTTCTGGTTAAAAATATTGTGCTTATTTCTTGTTTTCTCTGCTTTACTATTTCTATTATAGATATCGCACCGGATAGCATTGCATTCAATGGACTACTGTTGTTTCTAGAGTTTTCATGCCTGAACTGGTTTGTGCGTTCCTGTCATCAATTTCCTTCACCAAATTCATGAAGGATCCGTTCCTGTTGTTTCTAGACCGTAGGAACATCCATCTAAGATTCGAGCTACCTGCCTTGTGATGCGATTATATATAACAGTGTGTCGCACCCAGCATTCATTATTGATAAACCAAACTGGTCATTCGACCTGCACACTTGGTAACCAGATCCTGTTCTCACCTCGACTTACTGTTCTTTAAAAACCAGACTAAAAGAACTGCAAGGGCGACAATAGTCACGCCAATTCGGGTTCGTAAAAATCCAATACCGTGTTTTGACCTTTGATCCCCTTCGAATGGTTAAAGGAACAGGCATGGAAAGAGTCGGTGGCATGGAAGCAGCGGCCCACAAAAAAATGAAACGTTCAAATTTTGCGGCGTTACAAGACATTGCATCTTAGCATGTCGGAAAATGAGAAAGCACGTGCGAAGCTACAGGGAAAAGACAATGGCGCAACTCTGAAGTGGAAAAACGATAGTCAAAAGTAGCCGCGGATCGACCTGGCGATGAGGAAAATATTTGGAAATGGCAAAAGCGTAACAACGTGGCAGCTTTGGTTGGGGCGAAAAAAGGAGAAAAAAAAAAAAAAAAAAAAAGAGAAGAAAAAAAGAGAGAGAGAAAAAAGAAGAAGAATCCACGAAACAATACTTTGCCTCGACTGTGCACCTTGACAAGTAAGAACTTGTTAAAGTTGTCTTATAAAGTAACTTTAAATAAAAATATAAGTTCTCCTGCTCTTTAAGCCTTGGGAATTTAGGGGAGAACTAGAGGCTAAGAAAAAAAGGAATCAAGTACTCGAGAAGTTGGGTAATAAGTTCTGGAGCATTGTGAAAGGTCAAGCGTCCCGAGGAGTTTATATTCTCTCCTCGCAACACCATGTTAAGGCTCCCAACTCCCCATAGTTGAAGCCTGCACGGCAGCTAAGCTTAGGAGAAGGTTCTAGCCCCATGAGCAGTTGAAACGGCCTCAATTAAAACCATCACCCCACCCTCAGATGAAGGTTGAGAAAGGATCTGCAGCTTCGGGTGTAGGACCTAGGGAAAATGTTTATTCTGATGTACCCTTTTGTGAGGATCGATGAACTAGTTCATAAATTATAATATGATTACGTGTATACAATACAAGGCTATATAGAGGCTCGGCACATAGGCAGTAACCCGGGTGTTACTAGAAGGTTCCGTGGGTCGCGAAGCGTCTCGAAAACATCCTTTCTGAATCCACTAGAAGGCAATTCGGTGGCAATCAAATAGCCTGGAATATGATGCACACAACCTAGAACGGTGCTATAACAATAATAAATTATAATAAATCACCTAACCTAGGAAATCAAGCAAAAGCATGCATGATAAATAAACCTCCTCCAGATAAAGCATACTAAAGTAAAGGCAAGCAAGCAAAGCCTAGCAAAGCCGTCGTACTCTCACATGTTCCCCCCTCAAATCTGGGTGGCGTGAGTTACACCCTGCTCGACAAGATAAGCCTTGAGCGCACGGCGTGCGTTGCCCATAACAGCTTCTGCAACCCAACTGTCCTCCGATGGGTCGTAACTTAAGCGTATCAGGAATTCAAGCGTGTTGCTGCGTCTTCGCTGATGAGTGAGAATGCATTCCACCTCGTACTCTGTTTCATCTTATACGAGAACAGGTGGTGGTGGTGGTGGTGGTGGTAGATGTTGTCCTGCGAACTGTTGGTAGGGTCAATGTAGGGCTTGAGTAACTGAACATGGAAAGCGCTGTGAAGCTTCCACGTGGTAAGTAATCGCAAGCGGAATGTTACTGGAGTCACCATCGCCTTAACGTGAAGGGGACCACAGAAGCGAGGTCAGATTTTGGACGGAAGGTGAGACAAGTTCAAGTTGAGTATGTTTAGAAGAACCTATTCTTCGACTGCTACTGAGTTATCTCGTCGCTGTCAATTGACACACTGCTTCTGGAAATTCTGCATAGTGGTGAGACATCGCTGAGTCTTCTCCCATAGCTGCTGCATGGTGGTGACGAAGTCGTGAGCGGCTTGGACGTGTGCCAGTGTCGTTGGCTGCTGCGGTGTAAGTAGTTCCCGCAGCAGGAAGAATGAAGATTTGCCTGTGGCCGCATGTGAAGCGTTGTTGTAAGCAAACTCAAGCGTCGGTAACTGTAGATCCCAATGGCTCATGTCATCCTTGCAACGTGTGCGTACTAACTATTCAACCACCTGATTGAGTTGCCCAGTCTGTCTGTAAGTCTGGTACGCTGAAGAGATCGCAAGCATTGTCCCGAACAAACCCATGAGTTCCCTCCAGAACTTACTAGTGAATTTTGGGTCTCTGTCTGAGATGAGTGTAGCAGGGATGCCGTGGATGGTGATGATGCAGTCGAAGAAGAGGCAAGAAGTTGCTTCAGC